GGGGGGTGTTAGATGTAGGACCAAGGTGTGAATTGAGTTTAGGTGAGTTTTAGGGTCAGGTAGGCACCTGTGAGGTTAATTTTAGGGTAAATGTTCAGGGTTGGGATTTAAAATGACCTGATAATCAATGGAGGTCAATCCATGGTCCCCACAGGGATGTAAAAACAAACCTGTGTGTGATGTCAGCAGGAAGAGGCGGGGCCACTCAGTCAGCCTGGAGGAGGATCAGCTGTTTCCTGTTGGAGTCTGTTTGTCAGCCAGAGTTCCTGCCAGAGCTCTGCAAGTCCTGGTAAGACCCGGTCCACTCAGTCTGGACCCCAGCTAACCCTGGACACAGAACATCAGATTACATATTACAGATTGTAGATTACAGATTATATGTTATAGATTACAGATTGTAGATTATAGTTTACAGATTATAGATTGTAGATTACAGATTATATATTATAGATTACAGATTACAGATTATATATTATAGATTACAGATTACAGATTATATATTATAGATTACAGATTACAGATTATGGGTTACAGATTATAGATCTTTAACTCTTTCAGGTCACATGATCCTTCAGGCAGTCATCAGAACCCAGTCAGAACTCACACACACTCTCAGTGTTTCTGTCCCATGAAGTGGTCCTCTGTCCTCGTCCTGTCACKCAACATGTCTTCCTGTCCTTCAAACTCACCTGCTGTCTTGTGGGCGTGGCCATGAAAACAGCTGTGCCTCCTCTCTCCTCCAGGAGGCCCACGGCGAGGGCATCAACACGGTGCGGTTCAGCTTCGGCTCAGACCTGCTGGCCACCGGAGGGACGGACCGGGTCATCAAGGTGTGGGAGGTCAGAGCAGGTACGCCGGTCTCAGGTCAGATCCACCTGGCCTCAGTCCTTACTGTCTAATGATGACCTCACTGATGATGTCACCAGGCTCGCTGACCCACAGAACCACGCTGGACGGCAGCACCGGCAGCATCACCTGCGTGGAGTTCGACCCCACGGTGAGTCCAGAACCTGGATCTGGTTTCACCTGAACCCAGACTCACCTGTCAGAGGGGAGTAGTTTTARCTGAGGGGGGCTTCACCTGACACTCACATGCCAGGGAGGCGGGGCCTTACCGGTGTGTTCCTGTTTCTACCTGCAGGGCCGGAGGATCCTGGCAGCGTCGTACGACAAGTCGGCCCTGCTGTGGCAGCTGGACGCCTCGGTTCCAAAGGTAACTGACTCACCTGCAGGTCCAGAGTTAGACACCTGAAGGACCAACCCACTGATGTGTGTGTGTGTGTGTGTGTGTGTGTGTGTGTGTGTGTGTGTGTGTGTGTGTGT